TATATAACAATATTGTGGATCATTCTAGAGCCATAAGAAATGCCTTAACCCTGAGAATGACTAGCATCTAAATTCTCCATACAATGTCACATTAATAATTAATTAATCAATTAATAATTAATTAATAATTAATTAATTATTAATTGTTAAATGTATATAACAATATTGTGGATCATTCTAGAGCCATAAGAAATGCCTTAACCCTGAGAATGACTAGCATCTAAATTCTCCATACAATGTCACATTTACAAAACTCAGAAAGTTGTCGTCAATCTTGCTCTGCGGATTGTTTTGAAATCCTTGATTCCGCCCCTACTAAATTTCAACTTAAACTTAAGGAGGCTATGCACATAAACTGGGAAAAGCCTAATTTAAACCAACAAGTTCATCACGTCAACATGACGCTTACGCTTTAGGCTTTATATTCTTTCCAACACTTTGTTTCTCACTCAAATATGTAATTTTCGTCACTTAATCATAATTAATTATGCATGTTTCGCCTAGTTGTTATATAGTCCTAACGCTTTTTCAAATATTCTGTAACTGACGATGATGTTCGTAACATCGAAACGTCTTCGAAATTAAAAAATGTCGTACTCTTCTTGAAGATAACAATGTCACCCCTAGATCAAACATTGAGGTCATGACAAGAAAAAAAATGATCGCCAACTAAAGAAGCCTTGATTGTCAAACAAATTGTCCTTGTTAGAAATATATGGAAAACAGTATGAAGCATACACATGCTGATGTTAGAATGTAAAGGGTTAACTGCTGCAAACTGGTTGAATAAGCGCTCTTTGAACTTCTCGTCGGCCTTTGGAAAATCTACTTTTAACTAGAGAAAACTTTTCTTGTCCAGCGTGACAGGTTTACATTTTACCAACATTACAATACCTTGATTGGCGTGACAAACCGCGACCCTCTGATGTTAGAAAGCGTGACCTGGCTTTCCTCTACAGCTGTAATAATATCATCAGCACCCGTGATAATGGCAATGTCACGGCTTGTGTGGGCTGACAGCTGGAAGTCTGTATGGTTCCAATAGTCCATCACCTAGAAGAGAAGAAGTTACAAACACTGCAATTAAACAATCACTTCAGAAGCTGACACCCCCTTTTCATTAGCTTGCATACACTGGAATTTGTTCCTATCCCAGCATGCTATCTTGAATCGAACTCACTTCCTGGTGAGTTTCTGTCCGATTCACAGTAACTAATCCTGCTTTAACCCTTAAACTCCCAGCAGATTAACCTGTAACTTCTCCCTAAAATATCCATACATTATCCAGCAAACAGGTAAAAAGAATACTCAAACCTATCAGGTAGAGGCTGTTATTCTTGATCTAACTAAATATTCTCATAACTTATCTATAAGGGAACGTGTAGCAGCCAGAGGGGAGAATTGACAGTCAAACCTGGGACTTGAAAGGTTAACTACATACTTAAAAATAAGGCATCCTAGATTATCAATAATAAATGTCAACATTCCTGTTTACCTTTTGCAGCATTTGCTCCAGCGTTGCCTCGTTGCTTGCATATGAAGATATGTCCGAAATCTTCTCCTTGTGTTGAAACACCTGAAAGTAATAACCAACCACATTTTTACGTATGATGCACGATCCTCGCAGTAGATAGCGCTATTTATGCAATAGGGAAAATCAGACCTGAAAAAAATCAGGCCTGTACGGAACTCGAACCACTGACCTCTGCGATACTAGTGCAGCGCTCTACCAATTGAGCTAACAAGCCAACTGGGAGCAGGCCGTTAAGTTGATTCGTAATAAACCCGTGAAAGTGATAAATSAGATACAATGAATATATGAAGTTCATATATTTTGAACTGCGGTATTAGATACGTACGTTCTCCATTGTATCTCAACCACATTTTTATTTGACAAATAGAGCAAATTTGAATTGAGTGTCGAACATACTCCGAGATTATGTTGGGTTTCATTTACTCCGTGATTGGTCCAAAAAACTCATGCCATTCTCTCAATCAATCAGATACAAACTAAAGCCAATCACGACTTGGTTACTCGCGTTTTCCCGCACTTTAAGCAGTTTACCTCTTAAAGGTGATTTTCTTTCTTCTGATGGTCGCTGTGATCACTTTGATTTTGGCTTTACGACAGTCAAATAAAAACCGCTCTAAAATTCATTCAGTTTTCACTGTTTTCATTGCGTGCTTTGGAAGTAACTCAGTGAGCATATTATCTGTCAATATTGAGAATAACTTATAATGTTCTCGTTGTATGACAAACAGTTACCTTGAGTTGTAGTAAGTGTCCCAATGTGAAGTACTTGTCGCGAACGATACGTGTTCCAATAACATTTTGGATAGCTTCCCAGTGTCTGGTTCTCAGCGCAGGATTTCTTAGACTCGTAATGACTGGCATGCCTTGCTTAAAGCTCACCACCTTCTGTTTTATTCTTGGTACAACTTTGGTAGGTGGAAGACCTGTCATTGGAAGTACATTTAAAAAGTACCATCAAAGGAGTTCACACTTAGAAAAGCATAGGCCGCCATACTATATACTTCAGAGCAGTCTTCATTAAGTGTCGAAGTAATCCTGTATTGCATTGGTCTCGTTAACTTCGATCTATGATTGGTTCACAGAACCTACGCTGCCTTCTTAACCAATCACATACAGAACTACAACCAATCGCGACCTGACCGCACGTGTTTTCCCGCGCTTGACGCCGGTTACGCGCGTCAACCGTTCTAATTGGTCCCTTTCGAAATTTCTCTCTGTTCTGATTGGCTCTCGTGATTATGGTTGAAGGAAGCTCCCTCGAAAACAGCCGGCCAGTAACGCGTTTGTATTATCTGGTCAGGCCTTTCCAAAATTAATGATTCTTTTCAGAATTATCAAAAACCTTAGAAAACAAGCAGGAATGAAGCCCAAAGAGAGCTCTGGTCGCTACCTTTCTCCAGCAAGAACACTGTCTGTATAAACCTTGTGACATCTCGCTGTACTTCGTCTACGTTTAGGGTCTCAAATGGTGTGGCCTCCCACTGATCGACCAATCCTTGCCACTCCTGCAAAGACTCCCATAAAAGGCACCTTAGAGTCAAGTCCTTCTCAACTTCTGTCACCTCAGATTGCAGAGAAGTGGCCTGAGGACTAGAGTGACCTGTCATGGTGAGAATGGCTCCCCTGCAAAACACAAAAAAAGAGAAAAAGCTATCACTCATGATAGCACTGAAGGCAGGAGACCTTATGATACAGAGCCACGTCGGTCATACTATGTGGGACTTCACTTTTTATCATTATTTTCGAGAAATCATCAATTGTAGTCTGCGTACGAAACCACGTTAGCGAATTTTCGTCTACGACACCTTAACATTTTCCGTTTAACTCTTTGACCCCTAAGAGGGGACAAGCATCTCATTCCTCCTGACAGTGTCGTCACCCCTGAGTCAAACGTCAAGGACAAAGGAATAGAGGAAATGATCACCAACTCAAGACGCTCTTGATTGTTAAACAAATTCTCCTTGTCAGAACCTTTCCAAATGTATCGAGAACAGTATGGAGTCTATGCATACTGAAGTTAGGGTGCAAAGGATTATGAGGTGCTCTAACGCCGTTTAGGACAATAAATACACATCGTGAAAACCTCATGTTAAATTCATACGGCCACTGTTCATTTTTCAAATGATGGTCTTCTAAACGTCGCCGTTGTGAGGGCGAGCAAGCAGATGTAAAATGGTTATTTCTCTCAACGTGTATTTCCATTTTATACCATTCAAAATATAGACAGAACGAGTCTTACTCGGTCAAAGCCTTCTTCTGCAGAGAAGACGACATAGAACTTCCAAAGCGTTCCTGATATGCAACATAGTTACGAGCCTTGGTTGACAAGTTAGCCAGGTCTTCTTTCAACAGTTTCAACTTCTCTGTGGCGACTTGAGGAATATTGTCAGCATCCAGCAAGGCAGGAGAACAAACCTTGTTTTTAATGATAACCAGTTCACGTCGAACTGTGCTGATCAGTTCATTAAGAGCTCTACTGTGCCTCTGGATATTTTGATCCTTCTTTGCCTCGCAGTACAGAATGGTTGACTACAAGAAAGATATTTAAAGAGTTAGAAATTGAATGAAGGGAAAATAAAAAGTATCTCTACAAATCAAGACGCTCACCTGTGTTCAGCTATCAAAATAACTAACGGGAATTTAGCAGGGGACATTCCATGAGGTGGTTCTTCCTGTTCACTGTTTCAAAGTCGAATTGGAATTTGGAATATTGCTTATATGGAGGGAGGAGAGCTGGAGGACCCGGAGAAAAACCTTCCGAGCAAGGACGGGAACCAAAAACAAGCTCATACAGTAAAAAACCCGCATACAAGAACACCCATTTTCGGGGTTCAGGCTGATTGGGTTCTTATATATCGGGTATTTTAGCCTGAAAGTGTTCTCAAGTGTTCTGAATTTTTTACTTCTAAAAAAATGTAAGGGATTTACTAACTATGATGAAATACATAACTTTGAGAGAAAATTAAACTTGAGACATTCATTTTATTGCATATTTTTCATGTAATTGCAAGACTTTTAATTCCAAATACAGTTGTTGTACATTTGCTATACACAGCAAGTGAAATTACTAGCATTTGTACAGAGATCTTAGTGCAATACCACAGTAAAGCTACAGACACTGTTTGTTCTATTAAACTGAAAAGGGAAGAGTTTTTATGCATAAGAACAATTTTCAATTTTCAATTTTCAGGCTGAATGTGTTCTTATGTATATATATATGCTCCTTTTATACCAAATTTCAGCCTGGGTGATCTTAATCCACATGTTCTTGTATGCGGGTTTTTACTGTAACCCACTTGAAGCCGAATTGAACCTGGGTCACAGCGGTGGGAGGAGAGCGCTCTTATCGCCATCCCCACTCCCCGAAATTATTAAAAAGTCTGTACGAGCCAAGTGGCCCATAAGGCCTACGCTTAATTCCGGTTTCTGTAGCATGAAGCAACAAGGAGTATTTCTAATCCCCCCTCCCCCCCCCCCCCCCAAATGGGATGCTAATCCATCGTAGGATTACACCCAGCATTAAATTCGCCTGTACACATTTGAACAACTGGGTGAAGAGAAGCACTGTGCGAGTAAAGTGTCTTGCCCAAGAACACAACACAATGTCCCCAGCCAGGACTCGAACCCAAGCCACTCGATCCGGAGTCGAGCGCACTGACCATTAGGTAACCGCGCTTCCTGAAATTACTGAGAGTGAATGTAAATGACATGGGTTTGTGATCAAACTCGTCTTTACCTTCAAATGTTGAAAACTCGGCATCAGCGTCTGATACAAAGCCAGCTCCTCCGCTGATATCGTCATATCAAAGTTCCGTGCGATGCTATACATGCGCGTTACAATGTTATATTCCTCTTCTAGAGCTGAGATCTCATTGCCCATTCGCGACAAGAAGATCAGATGCTCCACGAAGGCTTCTACAGTCTCTGGCATTTTATCAAGCTTCCTTGAAGCATGCTAAAGGAAAAGAAAAGTAAGTTGTAGTCTGCAATGGGCCATTTTACAGTTGTGCACTTAGTTGCCAAGCCTTTGATTTGGAGTGAGGCTGAAGGTGACCTTGTTGTGATAGAGACCTGTATCTAGTTCGCATAATAACTAAGTCATTCACATTTAAAAGCAGCAACGTTTCTATCATAACAAGGTCACTCTTAGCCTCGCTCCAGTTCAAAGGCTTGGCCACCAAGCCCACAACTGTAAGATAGACTATTGTTTTTCGACTGTGTTCTGTAAAGATCACTTTTGCAGCGCGTTTCTTAAAGTTGCAGAGAAAAGAATCACCACACCTTGATAACATTCAGCAAGACGTCATTTCTTTTAGCCGCCATGACAGGAAGGTGGCGAGCCACTGCTTCAAGAACCTTCTCTAGGTAAGGAAGACAGTCGCTTTGAAATCCAGTGATGTCCACCTGAAACAATCCAAGTCTTTTGTGCAGCACCATCTTGGACATCTCAAGAACCTGAAATAATTAATAAAATCGCTAAAAATTAATAAAACACGTTCCTGATGTCTAGCTGCTTTTCCACTCGTCTTCATAACCTGCCCGTCAGGAACAGGCTACTTTTATTTCAGAAATTAAAAAAAAGAGTAATTGTCTTACCTCTTCCGTGTGTTGGTTGAGAACAACATAGAACTCTTCCGTGTTCCATTCCCTCTCTTTGAGGGAGCCATCGACATCTACTCTGCGTGACTTGTCCACCATAACACAAAATTTCTTGTATTTCTAAACTGTATCATTTGACAAAAAATGAAAAGCCTAGTTCAGTTTGTGTTCACGTTTGTCGTAACACACGGAACAAAGAAGGATTTTGGCGTTCTGGAGTAGTTTTCAACGGCTTCAGACTAGAACTGGAAAGCTTAAAGTTTTAATAGTAATAAAATCACAGCGCGCTTGAATGTAAAGGAATTTTAACCCTGGTTACTCTTCTATTTTCAACGATAAATAATTTTGTTATGTCTATTGAACCATCGTTTAATAGTTTCTTCCCAATATACTACTGTATAGAGAACGATTACGTCTAGGGTGCTAATAGTCCAATCTGTGCCAGCACGTTACAGGGAATCGTAAATTCACAAAGTCAATCAGAAAAAAAAAAAAAAGTACAAGAAGCCAACAGGTCGTGATTGGCTTTAGTTTCGCATTTAATTCATCGAGAGGTTAGGGTAAGTTTTCTTGACCAATCACAGACTATAGAGGTTTTGCATGGCAGCCATGTTGGATGGCAGGAACAATGAAAATATTTTGTATAAGAAAGAAAAATTTTTCCAATGGGAAAAATAATCTATTGTTCCTGCCATCCAACATGGCTGCTGTGCAAAACCTCGTTATTGACCCAGACCGAACTGAGGCAATCCGCGATAATTAAGGAAAGCAAATTGGAAATTGCTCTAAAAGCTCTCCTTGTCCGCATCCCCATGGAGTATCACCTTTGAAAAATTTAGTACATTATCCACTTCATCGTTGATCTGATGAAACATTAGACCAACGTCATTCTGATAATCAGGATCTTGGCCAAACAGCAGCTCTGAATCTGGCCACGGAATCTTCCTGACCCTCTCCTCCTCATCCACATCACGTGACAAAGCATATACTACATCGCCGGCTGGAGGATTGACATAAACCGACAATTGTGGATCATGGACCAGACTTTTGAAGGAAGCTGCAGTTTGTTCAAAGCCATATATAATGTCTTGAAGAGCGGTTTCAAAATCCTACGAGGAATATGCACGAGAGTAACACGTAATGTTGCGTCCAATCAAAGACCTGGGAATCCTTAGGGCAGGTACCAGTCATTGATTCAACCTCATACCCAGGGTCTCTCATCTTCTTAAGCGATAGAGGGGCGGGATTATGAAAGCCCCTGGTAACGAGGTAGTCATAAATTATGCCCTTGGGAGGGGGGGAAGAGGGGGTGGAGGATTTTTTAGGGGATCACAAAGTTTTCAGAGGGAAAAGAGGGGGGTTGGTGGTCGCTAACAGATTATAAAGGGGGACTATACAAAATTGACTGCTAATTAACTGACCGAGGGGGAATAATTTCAATACTACAGAGCCTTGGGTAGGACCAGGTAAATTTCATTGACACAACCAAAATCCTCCTGCCCCCCCTACCGAGGTGATAAAAAATGACAGGTCCCTACTCTCCCTTAGAGATCAGGATATTGTAAGGATGAACACGAACATGAGTCTTCCAATCGTGATACAGCAGGCATGCGCAAAGCTGCTCTATTTTGGCGGAAAAACGCACCAGCCGTCAACAGTCGAGGAGGAGATTGTGCGAAAATGGCGCCGAGAGAAAAACAACAGACCGACACGTTAGTTTCAGTCAGGAAAAGGCTAAACAATAGCTGAGCTAAATTCGTTGCGTATAAAGATTGCGAAAAAGGCATATGATTTTCGTAGCATTTCGCTTAAAAGGCTACGAAATTTCCAAGTAAAAGTGGACTTCGTCCTGGCAGTTAAATGCCATTGTCAGCATTCTTGTGATTTCTTAAGCTAGTGCCGTATTATTTCTGTCTACTAGAATCTAAGCTAACTTGGTTGAACTTCGCACGAACTTAGCTAAAATCAATTTACCCTGAAGTTGTTGCTTGATTTACCTGTTCGGTAGGTTTGAGAGAAACAAAAGATCTGGATGTCAATGAGGTTTGACTGCTAGTTGACATAACTGAAGGATCTTTTCCAGATATGATAGTCATGGTGTCATCATCAAATGACGTTCCATCGCCTGTGTAAGGTGTTGATTTCCCCCCTGTCTGTGGTCTTTGGGCAGATTGAACTTCAAATGAGACTGTCTTGTTATCAACTAGAAACGAATTCAGAGTATCTGCATTTTTGTCTGTGAACCACTCTACATATACACCTATTTTGAGAAAGGCTGTCGGTAAAACTCTTCCTCGAAACAGCTGTATACGTTTTTACTAAGAGAAACTGTGAATAAGGAGTTTCTAGAATTTCTAGAAAGCTTGGTCATGCAATATGTGAAAAGAGCCATCCTGCCACAACAGCCAGAACACAAGTCATAAATTAAGTTTAATTCGAACAGGTCATGATCAATTGCATGCTGACCAATAAAGTGCTTTTCGATTAAGCGTCGTAAATCCACATCCAATCAGAAGAAAGGAAATACCCTTGGGAACCAATGAGAACTCGAAGTAAAACAACCAAATCGCTTAAAGCGCGGGAAAACGCGGGCAACCAAGACGTGATTGGTTTTAGTTTTGCATCTGATTGGCTGAAAGGATGTCGCGAGCTTTCTGTCTAGATCAATCACAGGGCATAGTGAAGCAAAACCTATACGATCCCGGATTAATTTCAGCATACACAAGCACAACTCGAAAATATCGTACTGTTACTAGCTATGGTTCGGTTTTCTTGTGCCTCATTAGCCTTTTCCATAGTGCAAAGTAGTAATATTCCCTTTCTGGGTTTCATAGTAAATCTAGAATGGACGAGGAAAGAACTTTACTTCTGGACCAACCAATTGTAAGTGTTATCAGACACGTCTTAAAATCTGATAAACCCAATTCATTTAGGAACCCATCAGTCATACTCTTTACCATACCATAAATGGTAACAATTAAGATAATTTTTACATGCATACCTCCTCCTTCCTCAGCAGGAGGAACATTTAAAACCAGCTCCACCAGTAGGAGTGGAACTGCTTTTTTTTCTTCCTCGTCATCTGTGCCAAATTTAACAATATTTTTCTTCTCCTCTCTCTCAAGGGTTGGTTCCATCAGACTCAGGTGCACAATAGATCCTGTATGGTATTGAACAATGAAGTTGACCACAGCCAAAATGTCAAAATAAAGCTCTAGCTGTTTTCCAGCAGTAACTTACCTGTAGGATCTATTATTACTCCCTAAAATCGCTTAGAATTTTTATTTGTGCGCGCGCGACTCGCGCGCGTGCTTTGAGATTATGTAAGTTAAGGTGGCTGGTACTAGTTTCCTCTCGAAGGGGAATAGGTCACTCTTGCATCACGCGCGAGAGAAACGTGCGAAAGAAGCGCGAGAAGACGAAAATTCAAAACAAAGATGGCGGCGCGAGGCTTTTTTCTACTTTTGTAAGAAGTTTACCTAACTGCGTGTATTTGATGTGTTAAACGGCCACTGCGTATGCAGGAGATAGAAACGAAGATAAAGAAGACGATTCTCGGAGACATAAAGGTTGCTTCACATCTAAACGAAATATCCAACCGATATGAAATCTCGCGACGGCGAAAAAAAGGAGAACTCAAGTGGAAGATAATCTGTCTTAAGTGAAAGAAGACTGTGAAACTTCCAGGGAAATAATATAATATAATATAGCCAGAAGTTGAGAGCAGGTCCTTTAAGATGAGCCCGGGAGGCTGTCTTTGACGGCTATTGAATGATTTTCGAAGCAGTAAACGTCGTAAACATCAGATCGTTGGTGCTCGCGCGAACACACGCGATAGTCAGCGGTAGCTATAAGAGATCATGAGCAAATGTCGATCTTATAGAATTCAGATTTTTAAATGCGTGAGAACGCGCGTGGGAATTGCTAAACTTACGAAAGCTATTGCATGAAAACAAGTCCAGTGACCCCTTCTTCTTATTGTTCCAATATGATAATAACGTTGAAAGGAATCGTCAGAAAAAAAAACTAGGAAAATCTATGGAAGGACATTTGCGATGCGTGAAAATGGCCTTTTTCTAGATTTTCTGAAATTCCGCTCCGTAGAATTTTTTCAAAATCTTTGTGCAATTTCCTTTTCAAGTGCCGAAAGCAATCATTAAGAAAAATCTCGGGGTCACCGGGTTAGTTTTCAAATTATTTGAGCCATAAGCTAAAAAATAGGTCTGATTAATCCTTTGAAAGCGTTGCCATGGAAACTGCTAGTGACGAAATGACACCTATTTTTAGATAGCCAATGATCTCATAATTCAACCCTGTAAAAGTGTTCAACTGGCCTCGATCAGTCTTTTTGTTTTAACCTTTCAAAGTTGCAAACCATCAAAAAGATGAAAACTGGTACCAGCCACCTTAAAATGTCGTCAAAACATCACGCGGACTTTTTTTTGACGTGTGCAAGTTTCTTTTTGAGGAGTTGAAAGTTTTGAGTTTTTGGAGTGGCAATTTGTTTGGCGGTCATTGGTATTTACCGTGTTACGAGTAAACGAGTTTGTTTGACTTCCGTTTCGCTTCCGAACATGCGCCTTTGAGGAAACTTTTTCAAAAATATTTAAGTGTTGAGTGATCAGGGGAGTCATTTCAGGCAATGTTACTGAATATTGCCCCACTTTCTGTCACTCAAACCATAACAAATGAATCAATTAACGGCAGCTTTATCGTCCATTAAGGCATACTTTGTGCAAGCGGGTTCATTAAAACTCACCACAAGGTGACTTGACTGTGAAACCGTACAATGCCTTAATCTACCTCAGCTTCGATCTCATCCTCATCTTGATGGAAAATCCAAACTGAGGATTTTTTTCTTTTAAGGACAGACAATATTGTGTAGTCTGCAGTGTAGCCCTGTCATTGGGACCATTGTTGACACTGTAGATACTGAAGATTTGACAACCTTTGCAGAAGTCATCCCTTAAGTCACGTCACTTGACTTTGACGATAACTTCTCGTAAGGTTTTCCAAAATGTCAGTCACTAGTTAGTTCTTATTAACCGAGCGAGAGGTCTGTATGGGAGAATCTTGACCGAGGTCGCCACTACAGACCGAACGCAGTGAGGTCTGTACCAGCAACCGAGGTCAAGATTCTCCCATACAGACCGACCTAGCTCGGTTAATAAGATGTTTATTATATGGCTGTCTTATATGCCAATGTTTTATATTCTTTGTACCTTTTTTTTCTACACTGGTCTAAATGCCGGTCTAGATGGGAAAATCTAGACCGCTTTCAATATTGATTTCAGCCAATCAAATTCGTGAATTCGGTAGTTCCCAGTCCTTGTGAGACACAGCCATATAATAAAAGCGACAAGAACCCTTCCCAGGACCACTCTAACCCTACTGAGCCCACGGTAAGTACCTACCTAGCATGGAAGCAGCTTTAACTTGAGCTAAAAGAGTCCTCGATGCAGTTAGTACGAGCCTCCTTAGAAGCTCCATCACCAGAAAGTCAATCATTCTGATGAAACAAGTCAAACGATGGAGGACTCCTCTCCATTGAGACATCTGAGTGAAAGAAGGTCCATATCGAACCTTGCCTGAAATACAACATGACAACATAGGTGTTTTACGTTACCAATACTTTTAGGCATCCCAACACTCATTCAGTGTCATGATTTTTCAGTGAAAGAGATAAAAAAAAAAGTTCCCAAAGCCCACCTTTTCAGTATAGTTACCTTTCTTTTTCTTGCCTTCTGTGTCGGCTGGCTTCTTTTTCTTTTTTTGTTCTTTTTTTCGTTCTGGGTGAACCCATTCCGTAAGTCCTTCTTCTTCCGTAATTTTCTGAAAAAAAAATCATAAGAGCTGGAGCTAAGCATTTAAAAAATAACTGAATGCCTGTCAGGGCTCTGTAGTTCCTGAAATCTAAGATGTTTAGTTCACAAAAGATCAGATTTAATAATTGCAAATATCTTGCAATTATTCCAAGTTTCCTACCTCGCAGGCCTCTTTTACAATCTCTAGTACTTTTACCCTCAAGGCAGTAAGCTTTTCCTTAGCCTCTTGTGCTTGTTTTGTCTGTGCATCCACAAATTCCTTCAGAGTAAATGTTTTCTGAGGATCAACATGAAGGAGACAAATTCCTTCCTCTCCTTCACCTAATCCTGTTATACTGCTGCTGGCTTTCTCGCATAGAGCTCTTACAAGGAGAATAGCTTGTTGTGAGGCTTCTGTTGCCGAAAAGAGTGAACTGACAACTTCAGATCTGGAAAAAAAAAATAATAATTCACTTTCGAAACTGTTTACAACATATAAATATCTTAAAAGCAAGTTTCAAGAGCCTTAAAGTTCTAGAAAATAATGTTGACACTGAAAATTCATGATCTGCCACCTATTGCACCAGCAGTAATGAAAGTTTGTGGTAAGCAGGAAGTTTGCTGGGACCAAAAGCAACAAAAGCAAAAACAATTTTGTAAAATAAAACAAAATGTGTACTAACCTGCTGCTGCAATTTCTCTGAAATCTGACATTGTTCCTCCAACTTGTATAACCTTTCCTCAATCTGAGAAATGATCAAATAAATTTAGCTTTTATTCAAACCCTTTCACTCCCAAGATCTCTCTATTCATTCTCCTTACTGTCTGCCATACAATTATTATCATGTTAGTTTGGAGAATTTGGTCTTGGATCAACTTGTAATCCTCTTATTGATATTTAACAACTATTTGCTGAAGTGGAGGTGGTTATAGTGGCGGATATTTACCGAGCCATGAAGCGGTGAGGTAAATATCCACTGCTAACCAACGACACTAAGGTGAATTAGTTGTTTTAGTATACACTAAAACAGTGAGATAATATACACCACCGTCGTTAATTTGAGTGATTTCTTCGCTTGTCACAGATGCAAACCTAGGCCAGGGCTTGACACTAACTTTTCAACTTACTAGCCAAGTGGCTAGTCACATCTTAGATGTTTTTAGATGTTATGACAATTTCAATCTGTTTACTAGCCAAAGTGGCTAGAAGAAATTGAAAACCACTAGCCAAAAGTGAATTTCTACTAGTCTGTGGCTAGTGGGCTACCGTTAGTGTCGAGCCCTGGGGACGCCATTTTTTTCCCAAGTTGCTCAGAGGTAAATAGCAAAGGATATTCTGAGTTTGACAAGCCAATCAGAGCGCACCTTCAATGCTATCCACTGTTTTAGTATAATACTAATTTTCTTTATTCTCAGCACTTAATGTCTGCATGATATTGCCTTGATATTGCACATGTATGGAGAAATTCTGTCTAATGGCCTGACTCATGGGAGTTAAAGAAATTCGCATTTGTAAAAATAGTCATGGTTTTTAAGTGATTTAACCGTTTGATCCCTCAAGGTGACCAGCATCTAATTTCTCCTTACAATATCACCCCTGGAATCACACATTTTAGGTCATGAGAATAAAGGAAATGATCACCAATTTGAAAAGCTCTAAATTGTTGGACAAATTCTCTTTGACAGCACCTCAGGAAATGTTTGGAGGACAGTATGGACAATATGCACACTGATGATGTTTAGTTCTTATTAACCCATTAATGGCTGCAGCTTTTGTGGAAAACTGTGTTTTGAAGCTAGTCGAGCAGATTTCAGGTCACTGTTGTGGTTTTAAAAGCTCAAACTTACCAAAAACCCCTTGACAGCTCGTGCACTCGACGGCCTTTCGATCCAAATGCAAAATGGCAGCCTGGAAATCTCGGGCACGCGCAGAAAGCAAAATTTGGAGATAGTTTTTAGGGTTGAAAAGTTATGCCCCACTTACGACTTTAACTTTTCTCTCTTTCTCCAGCCCTTTTTTCCCCTCTCCTTGCCTGAAGTTTCTCCTCACTTGCTGGAAATTTAGTAGACTTCATTTTGGTGTAGAGATTTTTCAGAAACTACTCATTATTTTCAAACCACATGCTCAGAAAGGTACGTGGGTAATGGAACAAGATTTTCATCCAGATTTTCAGGTAAAATTTACATGGTTTTTTGCCTATTTCTCCAATCTCCTTCCCTCAATTGTGCTCATTCTGGTATCGTTTGTAAGATATTTTCAACCTGTCCAAGTACGTGCTCAAATTCGTGCTCCAGGGTTAAAAGTGATGACGTCACAAGGCGTAAAAAGGGTGTGGGTCCCCATGGGCGCATATGGGCGCACTGGACGTCAATAGGTTAACAAGCGGAAGGTCTGTAAGGGAGAATCTTGACTGAGGTCGCCAGTACAGACCGAATGCAGTGAGGTCTGTACCAGCGACCGAGGTCAAGATTCTCCCATACAGACCAACCTAGCTCGGTCAATAAGATGTTTATTATATGGCTGTGTCTTATATGCCAATTTTTTATTTTCTTTGTACCTTTTTTTCCTAGACCGGTCTAGATGCCGGTCTAGATAGGAAAATCTAGATCGCTTTCAATATTGATTTCAGCCAATCAAATTCATGAATTCAGTAGTTCCCAGTCCTTGTGAGACATAGCCATATAATAAATACTGATATAAACAAATCCATTAGCAAAGCAGTGACCTAATTGGTTAGTGTGCTGCACTCCGTGTGGAGAGGTACAGGTTCCAGACCTGGCCAGGGACATTGCGTTGTGTTCTTGGGAAAAACACTTTACTATCACAGTGCCTCTCTTCCCCCAGGAATATTAATGAGTACCGGGGAATTGTCAGTGAAGACTGCAATCA